GCTTCTGTTGGGCTTGGGCCACTTAAGTGGGTTGAGGTCATTTTGCTAAGACTCTTATTGTATCATTTTGTAAATACCCGTATCTTGGGTTAATAAACACCATAACAGTTAGCCTTTTTCGTTTGAAGTCAACTTTTAGTCGGGTCCAAGTGAAATAAGATATACTCTGATCAATACAAGCTGATGAGGAGGAGAAACTAAGAATTCTTCGTCTTAGAGACGTGGCTGACATCATCGAGCATCCTTTTGTACCCATCATGACTCCTCTTTTCATGGCTGACGTTATCAAAGATCTGAACTGTCATTTTGGGAAACAAAACGTTATGGACATAATGGAGGATCTTCCGCTTTTTTCGAGTATTGGAACGTCGGGCATTAAATGAGGGCGGCGTTTTGTGTTTCAAATGAACTGCTTTAGATTCCAAAGTGGATCTGACTTGGTTGCTTTGAAAATCACCGCGTCCTTTGAAATCCTCCCATGCATTTCTACAAAAACTTATAAATGGTCTCTTGATGTTAAGAGAGTTCTTTTACGAACCTTCGTTCTGACAAATTCCTGATATTCCTCCAAGCTTTTTTAAGAAAAAGTATTCCATGGCCTCTCAAGATTTAACCTCTGGCCATAGTAAGGAGAGGCTCGATATTCTTCTACTTATCCGCTCGAGGGTCCATATGGACAATCTGGTGGGTTATATGATTAATACAATATGCCCCGGACTCTCACCTTGGCAGCGCCGGAGATGAGCGAGCCAGTGTATTATGATGGCGAGGGTCGAGTGCCATTATATTTGACCCACTTGGAGCATGGCTTACGACTACCCTTACACCCTTTTATTAAGGAGGTGCACACCACTTTAGGGGTCTCTCCTTCCCAGCTCTATCCGAATGTTGTGGGGATTCTGGTGGCTTTCATCATCGTTTGCGACCATATTAGAGTCCAACCAAGCTTGAGATTGCTTGGACATCTAATCAGCGTGAGGTCGGCTGAGAAGGACCCACATTACTTCTACCACTATCGTGGTGAGTTCCAGGTTGTCTCTATCTCTTTGGAGTTGGATGAGGACTAGAGGAGGAGATTTGTGTGGGTCTATGGTGGCGACAACGTCTTCGCTTGCTCGGGCTGGCTGGATGTGAATGAAGACGCTTTGAGGCTAGTCACCCTTAGTGATTTCGAGATGATGGACCTGGAAAAGGTCCATTCTTATGTTGGGTCACGGGAGAGCGATGCTCTATTTGATGATGTGTCTCTTCAAACGGTGGGCATATCCATGATCTTATCTTCCACTGGCTTCCAGGCAAGGGCGAGTTTCGTTCCTCTGTTGTCGGAAAGTCGCAAGAGGAATGAAGGGACTGAGGGATCGAGTTCTACTACTAGACCCCATAAGAAGCTGAGGGAGGCCTTCAGCTCTAAGGAGGTGGCTGTCTTGATGCCTCAAGCAACCGAAATTACCTCTAAATTGAGGGGGAGGGAAAGGGTCGAGAGGTGGTGCCCAATCGAACTAGTTGTGGGGCCCCAACTAACTGGGATAGGTCCACTGGTAACTCAGCTTAACTGCTTGGAAAATATGGAGTGGATAGACGAGTCTTCTTCTGGTAGGGAGACAATAGACCTAGCGGTCAAGGAGGATGTTGTCGGCCCTAGTACTATTCCTGAGGCATCTCATCATCCTGGCAAGGAGCCGATTAAGGTGGATGACAGCATTGAGGGGAGAACTGGAACTCTGTCAAACCAGATGGAGAATGGTGCTAGCGGGAGGATTTTGGAGGATATGCTAAGTGTTGGCATACACCAAGCTCTTCAAGCTTGTTTGGCTCGGGGGACTTTGCTGGGGCACGCTTTGTTCAATCGACTTGAACGTTCCCTGGAATGCTAAGAAAATCTGGCGAAGGAGAAGTTAGCTAAGGAGGAGGCAGAGAAGATGATTACTATCTTGGAGGCGAGTTGGCTCACAAAGAAGGCGCTTGGCGTCGGAGTCTGGATGAGAAGGAAGAGCTCCTTAAGAGCTTTCGAATCTAGTTCTCCAAGCATGTGGGAACCATCGAGGATCTTCAAAGGGAGATAGTTCGTCTACAGGCGGAGGTCGAGTCCGAGAAGCGTCGCAAGGTCACGGCTGAGGCTGAGGCGGAGGCTCGATCAAGTCGCCTATCCCTTGAGAAGATAAGGAGGGACTTTGAGGAGCTGCAATCATAGCTTCATACGTCCACGACCCTTGTCAAAGAACTAGATGACAGACTCGTTCATCTAGATTCGGATCAGTATAAAACGAGGGTGGTCGAAGATTGGTGTCATGACCTCTTGGGAAGGGTCGAAGTGGCTTTGGCATGTAAGGCCAGGGTCGACTACTTCGCTTCTCTAGTGCCTCACAACTCTCATCCTGCTCTAGACTGCTTCTATCCTTCCCGCGTCTCCTGCTGTCTTAATTTGTTAAGAGATGTCAAGAAGAGTGAAGGCGGGTTGGATTTATCAGCGAGTGACGATGAGGTCGAGCCTGTTGTTGGGGCCCTTGGGGAATCTTCTGCAACTGCTACCACTAGGAGACCGCCAAGTCCAACTCTCGGATCTAGTCGAGAGCTTTGAAGACCTGCATGTCTGTTCTTTCTTTTTTTTTCTTTTTTTTTATTTTCTTTTTTTTCGTAGAGAAGTTTGTAATGAAGTTTACTCTTATTGAATAAAAATTAACTTTTGTCTACATTCTTGAACTTGCCTTCATTATTTATATTTCTTTAGCTTTGTAGCTTTGTTCTTATCTGAAATGTTTACTGAAGTGTGTTAGTTGTAATGTGTCAACTCGTGCTGGGGACTTATGACAACTAGTTCACCTGATGCCTTAGTTTGGCTGAGCGTTTAATTGACCAGAACTTGACAGATGTCTGCTTAAGTTTTTAGATCAATTAAGTATTGGTCATACACTTAATATTCATACATTAGGTTTATGGATACCTTTTTGGCAGAATGACAACCATGAGGTTGGATGCCTAGGTTTTACGTAGGTGTCTAGGTCTTCATAACCCCCGTGTGGTCGAGTGGCGACGGTGGGAGTCAACCATAGGGTTAGGCTTTGGGTTTATCCTGAAGAGGTACCAAGGGCTTGTTGACATACCAACCCTGAGGTTGGGTCGTCCAGGACTTATTTGGACGCCTGGATTTTTGATTAGCCATGATGGTCGAGTTGTACAGGAGGATTTGACCATATGTTGTGCCTTGAGTTTACCCTGAAGAGGTACTAAGAGCTTAAAATTCGATTGAGGAGTCGAATGCCTAGAACTCTTGAGAGTTGACAAGATCTTTGACGGCATTGAGGCTAAATGACAATCATGAGGTTGGGTACCTAGGTCTTCGTAATCCCTGTATGGTCAAGTGGCGACAGTGGGAGTCGACCATAGGGTTGTGCCTTGGATTTATCCTGAAGAGGTACCAAGGGCTTGTTGACATGCCAACCCTAATATTGGGTTGCCCAGGACTTATTTGGATGTCTGTGTTTTTGATTAGCCATGATGGTCGAGTTGTACTAGAGGATTCGACCATATGTTATGCTTTGGGTTTACTCTGAAGAAGTACCAAGGGCTTAAAATTCGACTGGGGAGTCGAATACCTAGAACTCCTGAGAGTTGACTAGGTCTGACAGCCTTAAGGCTGAATGACAACCCTGAGGTTGGGTGTCTAAGGCTTGCGTGGGTGCCTAGGTCTTCGTCCCTAGTAAAGGCTTGATTCCTGCGAGATAAGAGTTAATTCATATTTGATAAGATTTCATTAGTTCTAATTTACATGCTTATGGAAAGTATCCATTGCAGACATCCGACGCTCAAGAAGGTTGAATCACTTGTGATCCTGTTGTCTCTGTTTCAAATGCAGTATGTAGCGGATAAGGCCGCTGATATAGAGCCTTTTTAGTTAGATTTTGCCTTTACCATAGCGGACGACTCGATGATAGATGAAGATGAGTCAAAAGTCTATTTGTCATCTCATCAGCTAAGGTTTCTTTTGAGTCTGAACCATCAGTAAGGCCTTGAAGGCGGATGATTGGCATACCGGCTTTTAGCAAAAGGAACTGCCCAGACGCCACGACTCATGTTGAATGGCGTTTTCTAGATCGGGTTCGTGAGGGTTGGGGGCACGACCATAAGATACATGGTACCTTTGTGGTGGAAATTCTCTTGGAGAGAGAATCCACCAGCCAATATTGTATTCCTTGGAATTAACAAACCACAACGGTTTTCTCGAAGGAGCTTCGGGAGCACTAGGGCTGGACCATGCTATGAATGGAGAACTTTCTCTTATGGGGATCATGCGGGTCGGGTGTTTTGACCACCAAAGCTTAGGCAACTTTAGTGGTGTAGGCGTCAGTTGAAGGGCCAAGGTTATTCTTCCTGAGAATACAATCAGTTGATAGGCCCTAAGCTTTTCCCACAAACTCATCCCTGGTATATGGAAGTTTCCTTCAAAGAATCCTCATGGTCCAAGGCGCCTATCACAGACTTAATCACTGCTCCTATGCTCATATAAGCTATTGTCAATTGGAGCTTAAGTGATATTTGGCTTGATCGGATCATGTGTTCTGGCCAGAGTTATTTTGTGATGGCGATTAGAAGCCGAGGTTGTTTTTTAAGAAAGACAACCACATTTATGGTGTGTCTTCCTCTGGAGGGTTTTCTAGGGGGTTGAAGATTACTCTACCATCTAGCAGATGGTGTGCTTGGTAAACACTCCTCAGATAAGTCGCTGAGGCCTTCGAGGACTACGCCTATGTTGGTTCTTCTTAGCCAAAGCTAACCCTTCTTAACTTGAATGATACAAATCCTGACTTCATTTAGCTTAGATGATGCAACTTCAATGTTGTTCTTCAGGGTGAGTAGAATCAAACCCTTGTTTAGAACTTGGCATGTCTTCTCGAAAAAGAGGAGAGGCCCTACAGTGGGTGTCAAACTGTTAATGACTAGGACCAAACAGTCAATCGGATCCGAGCTGGGATCCGTTCTGATCCGGAACTAGATCGGTCCCCATGGGTCCTCGCCGGGACGAGGTAAGGGAGAGTGATGGAGAGGTCGCTCCCTTCTTGACTTTATGCGAGGTTCTTGAACGGGGGTTTGATGGTCATGCTGCACAGACAAGAAGAACCCGTGAAAGGGCGGGGACCGGTTCCCTCGCGGTTCCTCTGACGGTCAAGTTAGTGAAACTCGAGTGGGGAAGGGGAAGGTCAGGAACCGATGTGGTTCTTAAAGTGGCAATGTGCAAGCCCAGAGTATCTAAGTGAGTTCCCCTGTGTAGACGAAGAATTGTGGGTTCCTTTTCTTTATATATATATATATATATAAAATCGTCCAGCAGCTCTCGTTCATCGTTCATCGTTCTTCAGCTCTCGTTCATCGAGAAAACGTCCAGTAGCTCTCATTCATCGTTCTTCAGCTCTCTTGTTCGAAGTCCAGCAGCTGGACATTGCTCAACATTTTATGGAGATTGAAATGGAGAGCTTGAATTCAGGTGTGCATGGTCTAGTTTTTTTCATTGTAATGGAACTAGATTCAGTATTTAAAAACTTAGCCATATGACTTATTATCTTGTAGCTTACATTCTTAAACATTTTATGGAGTTTTAAATGGAGAATTTGATGCATTGAATCGAGATTTTTTCATTTGTTCTAAATGGATAGTGGTAAATATTGGTGGTCTGGATTATGCAATATGCACTCTAGTTGAGTTTATCTCGATTCAGTTGAGTGGATCGAGATAAACTGGGTGAATCTACTCTATTCAGTTTAGTGAATCGCGATTCACTGGATAAATCGTCTCGATTCAGTTTTGTAAATCGCGATTCAGTTGAGTGGATCGATATTCACTGGATGAATATACACGATTCAGTTGAGTGAACCGCGATTCAGTCGAGTGGATCGAGATTCACTGGGTGAATCTACGCGATTCAGTTGAGTGAATCGTGATTCACTCGTTGATTCGACTCGATTCAGTTTTGTAAATAGCGATTCACTGGGTGAATCGTCTCGATTCAGTTATGTAAATAGCGATTCACTGGGTGAATCTACTCGATTCAGTTAGGAAAGTGAGGGTTTTAAATTTTTTCCATTTTCTTTGATCTTGTTAGAATAAGTCAAGTAATTTTTATATTGTAAGATGTTTTCATTTGATCTAAATGGATAGCGGTAAATCCAGATTCAGTATATCAACACATATGATTGATGGTGTTTTATTTTCAGTTGTAGGCAGCAATGAACAAATTTACATACCACATGTTATAAATGCATCGGACAGTGATTTTGGAGAAGATGGAATGGACGAAGTTAGCTCTATTCCTTTTGAATCACCAGGTGGTGGTATGTATTGGAAACCTCGGGTTGAAGCTGAAGTTAAACCTTATCTAAACCAAAGCTTTCGCTCACTAGAGGATGGTATAGAGTTTTACCGAGAGTATGGACGTAAAAGTGGGTTTGAGATCAGACGGCATACGGAGAAGAAACATGAGGACGGTACAGTTCTTCTTAAACACATTGTTTGCAGTAGAGCTGGCAGCAATGAATCAAAGATGGATGTTGATATTGATGAGTCTAGTAGCATTTTGAAAAAGAGAAGGAGAACTGTATCTAGTAGATGTGGTTGCAAAGCTAAGGTCGTATTTAAGTTTGATGGTTTGAAAGGATATAATGTTCTCTCATTTGTTGAAGAGCATTCTCATTCTTTGGTCTCCGGTAGTGGGAAACAATTTTTGAAGTCAAATAGAGTTCTCGGTCTCGCACATAAGAAACTTGTATTTGATGGAGCAAAAGCCAACATGGGGCCTAACAAAACATATAACTTTGCTAAAGAGTTGTGTGGAAGTTATTCTAATGTTGGTGCTACCTGTACCGAGTTTAAAAATTGGAGTAGGGATGTGAAGCTTTATATTGGTGATCGAGATGCTCAAATGATCATCGAGAAGTTCACGGCTAAGAAGGAGATGAGTGATGGATTTTTCTATGATTATGCAGTCGATGAAGGTGGTCGATTAACTCGCATTTTTTGGGCAGATGTTATTGGTCGAAGAAATTACGATGTATTTGGAGATGTGATATCATTTGACTCTACATATTCCACAAACAAGTAAGATTTTATAGTTAATCTCTTACTATTTTCAATATTGTAATTATATATCATAGTGAATCTTATATTTTTTGTATGTGATACAATAGGTACAACATGAAGTTTGTTCCATTTACTGGTCTCGACAATTATAAGAAGTGTGTTGTATTTGCAGCAGGATTGATAGCTAAAGAGGACATTGATAACTATGTCTGGATTTTTGAGGTATTCATGAAATGCATGATTCGCGAGCCAAAGTGTATTGTTACAGATCAGTGCCCTGCCATGAAGCAAGCTATACCAACTGTCTTTACAGAAGCACGTCACCGCTTGTGCATGTGGCACATAATGAAGAAATTTAACCAAAAGGTAATGAATCATGCATTCAAATATAATGAATCCTCATTAGATAAATACTGAATCTTTCGTTATATATTTATATTGTAGTTGGCAAAATGCATTTCGAAGATGGATGATTTCAAGAGGAAGATCAATGCACTGATTTGGAGTATAGATATAGATCCAGCAACATTTGAAGTCGGTTGGAAAGATGTTATGAAAGAATATAAGCTTGAAAGTAATGAATGGTTGTGTGAACTGTATAACATTCGGGAGTCATGGATTCCAGCCTATTATGCTGATGATCCAATGGCCGGTTTATTGCGGACTACATCAATATCAGAGAGTGAGAACAGTTTCTTTGACAAATTCAACCGTAGATCTGACACATTGACAGAATTTTATCTCCGATACGAGAGTGCTATGGAGAAGCAAAGGCATACAAACGCAAGATTAAACTATGAAGGAACGAAGTCGATGCCAAGAATGGACACGCCATTGTTATTGGAGAGGGATGCAGCAGAGTTGTACACTCGAACAATGTTTTATGAGGTACAGAAAGAGATAATGTCATCCTGTTATGATATGAGCATCGACAGTATATCAGAAGAAGATGTTGTGAAGATTTTTTCCTTAAAGGACAAAAAGAGACATGGAAAAATATTTGAGGTAAAACTTAATAATGGAGATTGAAACAATAAAAATTTCACATCACTGAATCGAGATTTAGTGACCATTACAATGACTTGTCATTTTCTTTATTTAATCGGTGCTAATATACATTGTTTTTTTAATTTTAGGTGAAACACACTTATTTGAACAATGACGTTCAATGTACGTGTAGGCTGTTTGAGAAAATGGGTATAGTATGTAAACATGGTTTTTTTGCACTTAACCAAGCTGATGTATCAAAAATACCAAGACATCTTGTTGTGAACCGATGGACAAAAGGTGCTGAAATGAGGCATTCATTGCAGTTCAAGGAAATATCAGAACAATGTTATGCAATTGAAGTTACAAATCGTAAGTTGAATGACATATGGTATGATTTCCAATCCTGTGTGAGTTTGGCAGGTTTAGATGGTGAGAGACTTGACTACCTGGAAGGGAAGTTGAAGGAGCTGAAGCACAGTTTGCGTGAATCTAGTTGGAAATCTGACACACAGAACAAAAATGATGTAATGGAGTTTTTTGTTGGCTCAAAAATACCAGCGGAAGTGATCGTTAAACCTCCCATTGAAGGTAGAAACAAGGGGTGTGGACGGAGAATTGTTGGTGATTATGAGAAATCAATTAGTCAACGGAAGAAGAAGGTGCCAAGGCTTTGCAATATGTGCAAAAAAATCGATTTCCATGACGCACGGACATGCCCATTAAAGAAAACAATACAGCAAAGTGATGTTTAATTTAGTCGACATATTTTGTTTCAAACACATGTTTATAAATACATTTCTTATTAAAATTTCCGAATTGTGTAATTATTAACTACATATACTTACTAGATTATTAATTACATGGTTACGTTGTGTGATGTGCACTCTAGTTGAATCTACTCGATTCAGTTGAGTGGATCGAGATAAACTAGGTGAATCTACTCGATTCAGTTTAGTGAATCGCGATTCACTGGATGAATCGTCTCGATTCAGTTTTGTAAATCGCGATTCAGTTGAGTGGATCGATATTCACTGGGTGAATCTACACGATTCAGTTGAGTGAATCGCGATTCAGTTGAGTGGATCGAGATTCACTGGGTGAATCTACGCGATTCAGTTGAGTGAATCGCGATTCACTGGTTGATTCGACTCGATTCAGTTTTGTAAATAGCGATTCACTGGGTGAATCGTCTCGATTCAGTTATGTAAATAGCGATTCACTGGGTGAATCTACTCGATTCAGTTAGGAAAGTGAGGGTTTTAAATTGAATTGAGATTGAGATTTACTCATATAGCATGTGAATTCCAGTGAATCTACTCAAATAGCGATTCACTGGGTGAATCTACTCGAATTGAGGTTGAGATTTACTCAAATAGCGATTCACTGGGTGAATCTACTCGATTCAGTTAGGAAAGTGAGGGTTTTAAATCTGAATCGAGTCGATTCACCCAGTGAATCGCGATTCACTCAACTAAATCGAGAAGATTCACCCAGTGAATCTCGATCCACTCATTTGAATCGAGTAGATTCAACTTAAGATAATGGCCAAACAGTTATTCCAGATTAAATACATACAATCCACAATAAGTATGATTATTTTATTGTATGTTACATAAAAAATTGGATTATATCTCCCAATCTCTGCTGAAATCGAAATTATGACAAATCTATTCTTATATAGTACTCAATAACTGTAAACTTCAACATTGAAAATTATGACAAATCTAGAAATAACAGATAGTGACAATGTACTCAATAACTTTAAACTTCAACATTGTAAATTATGGTGATTACAGATTATCATTTTCTTTGAGATCATCTTGTGGTCTTCCTCTTCTCTTTTTTGATATTTCCAGTCTCAGCATGGTGCTGTTGGGCTTTGCTAATTACTTCTTTGGCCAATTCATTTGGTGGTTCAGTAAGAATTTGGCAACAGTATATAGACCTCAGTCTATGTAGCTGATTTTTTAATCGCTCCTGTCGATATGAACAACAGTTAAGTAAGAAGACTAACTGTAAATTATCAACACATTTTTAGTTTAACACTTACACCCTCTCTATGAAAACCAGAGCTCCAATTTGCTGTACCACCGCCCATGTAGGTCTCCATATGTCTCATGACAAAAATACCACAATCATATGTATTTTTGGTCGTTCTCCACTCCATCTCAAGTCTGTCAGGCGTTAATGTAATTATTTCACTCGCCTTGTGATGTTTCTTGTCTGCCAAATATCTCACAAAATTCTGGTGTTGTTTAATCAAAAGTAATCAGTGTCACATAACAAATCCAAATTATTATAGAATAATGTTTAATGTAATATACAAATTGTTTTGGTTGTTTATATGGAAACAGTATCCATTGCAGTGAATCACGATTCATTGGATCTAACTCGATAGGATTTAATAGAGTTAGTTCAACTGTTCTAACTCTACTGAATCTTGATTTCTCGTACGCTAGTTAATCAGGATTCACTATAGTGATTCAGGATTCACTAAATTGGATCTGGATTCACTTTAGTGAATCTGGATTCACTATAGTGAATCTGGATTCACTAAAGTGAATCTGGATTCACAGTAGTGAATCTGGATTCACAGTAGTGAATCGGGATTCACAGAAGTTAATCGGGATTCACAGTAGTTAATCGGGATTCACAGTAGTGAATCGGGATCCACATTAGTGGATCTAGATTCACTGGAGTGAATCTGGATTCACAGTAGTGAATCTGCATTCACTAGAGTGAATCTGGGCTTCAACTGGAGTGAATCTGCTTTCATATAGTGAATCCGCGCTTCAATTTAGTAATGCAGATTCAATGTATTACTGTATTTCCGCCAGTAATGTTTAAAGTAGCATACAAGGGTGGGAAACATACGGGCAAACCCTCAGACGACCTTGGTATTTTTCCTTATAGTCTGGGCCAGTTGTTTGCTATTGTCAACAGCTCCATACTTGGATTCTTAGGCCGCATAGCACACATGTAAGAAATGCTCAAACGGCATTTATGGGGAAGAGACCTAAATGGTTGTGGAAATTTAATGCAGAGATTTAACAGATACTAGTTAAATTGGCTAAAGAAGAAAATAATTATCTTCGAATTCTTTACCATATCAATCTTCATTAAACGTTCTTGTGAGAGAGAGATATGGCTCTCCATGGCCGAGAAGCAAAACGACTGTATCTCATTCTCATTGGGCCTCATCTGTGTGAATGAATGTTGGCAAAACTGTACACATAAAACTTGTAAATAAGATGTACCTGAATTGTTTTTAAAAAGAATAAAGGAAGATAACTTACGGTTGGGGTCTGCAACATTGCAGAAGAATGCTAAGAGGAGAATTTTTCCGACTTCCATTTTTTCTCTGTGTTCAAATATGACAATATGCTGATTAAATTTGCCCTGCAATGTCCTGCATCAGGAAGGAAAGTCTTAAGCCAGTAAGAAACATTCAATTTGTCTCCACTTAAAAACCACTTCAACGTGAAAAACAGTAACAATATTCAATTTAATAAAGGGAGTAAATACGTAAAAACAGTGAGTCTGACACATCAAATAAAATAGCATTCATAAAGATTTAAGAACTTAACGGAAATCCTCTCTCATCAGAATCATCAGCTGAATGCCTTGCTTTTTTCTATGTACCAATTCCATATGATGCTTTCCAGCTGACTTTTGGCCTAGGCAGTAATGTGAGATACCTCTGCACCCATGGTGAGCGAAGAGACGTTGCAGGCTTCACATCCTCTTTTCTTTGCCTCCTTCCCGGCATCTCCCTTATTTCGTCACCTCAACTTTCTTATGTTTACATTCATCTACTGCAGGCAGCATCTTCAATTGTTTATCAAGTTTCTTTTTAGCAAGGGTCACGGTGACTGTCAGATTCAACTGTTGCCCTGAACAACTATCTAGCCATTTCCACTGTCTCATTCTAGTATCCTGTGTAGGCCAAGAGAAAAACTAGGTTTTCAGTTCTGTGGGGTACACATCGCTGAGCTTGGTTGCCGCTTCACTGTCTTTCATCATTTTTCTTCGGCTAACAGTCTCATCAGATCTTATCAACGTTCTTGAATAAAATTTGGGGAGACTGGGTTTGTGGTATCTCAGGCTGATGTGGATCAACAGCAAGGGGAAGCAAATGCATATCTTTCCTACTCCACATTTGTGTTAATGTTTTAGGTGTATCATCACAATGTTTCTCATGCAGCTGTTTGCATCGTTACAGGTACTTACACGATGTCCACACCCTGCACCAGAACATTTGAAACTGCTTTGTTGAATTTGCAAGAGCTCATTATCATTGGGGAACAGCTTTCTCATTGTCTCACACTGACACGCAGTCATACTCTGTGATTTCTCTCCCCCTTTGTCACCATAAAAAATGGGGTAAAGAGAAATACTAAATGCAAAATACAACTAGTCAAGCAAGCAATGTAGAACTTTCACATAGTGCATAAGCCCAAACCATTTCTTATGCGACAAAAATCATCCTCTCCAAGAGGCTTAGTAAATATATCCGCTAGTTGAGATTTTGTGTCAACAAATACTAGGGATACATCTTGTCTCTCTACATGATCGCGTAAGAAATGATGGCGCACGTCAATATGCTTAGTTCTAGAATGCAAAACCGAATTTTTGGAAATATTTATAGCACTTGTGTTATCACAAAAGATTTTAATATTTTGGAAATGCAAATCATAGTCAACTAGACTTTGTTTCATCCATAAAACTTGAGCACAACATAAGCCGGCGGCAATGTATTCCGCTTCCGTAGTGGACAATGCAACACAATTTTGTTTCTTGGAAGCCCAAGAAACAAGGGAATTTCCTAAGAATTGGCATGTTCCACTAGTACTCTTGCGATCTACCTTACATCCGGCAAAGTCGGCATCACAAAAACCATATAAATCAAAAGAAGTGCTTCTGGGATAAAACAAGCCAAGATTAAAAGTACCATTAACATATTTAATGATTCTTTTAACGGCAATTAAATGAGATGCTTTAGGAGATGCTTGAAAACGTGCACATGCACACACACTAAACATGATATCGGGTCTACTAGCGGTGAGATAAAGAAGACTACCTATCATACCTCGGTATAGTTTTTGGTCCACATCTTCACCACTCTCATCCGCATCAAGCTTAACACTAGTACTCATGGGAGTAGGCGCATGCTTGGAATTCTCCAACTTGAATTTCTTCACCAATTCCTTTGCATACTTGCTTTGTGAAATGAAGATCCCATCCTTAGTTTGCTTGACTTGGAGCCCGAGAAAGAATGTAAGCTCTCCCATCATACTCATCTCAAAGTGATCCTGCATAACTTTAGAAAATTCCTTGCACAAGGATTCATTAGTAGCACCGAAAATAATGTCATCCACATATATTTGAACTAAAATGAAATCATTTTTCCTTTTTCTTACAAAAAGAGTGTTATCAATTGTTCCTTTTGAAAAACCATTTTCAACAAGAAAACTAGAGAGGCGAGCATACCAAGCTCTAGGAGCTTGTTTCAACCCATATAAAGCTTTGTGTACCCGGTAAACATGGTTTGGAAAATCATGATCAATAAAACCGGGGGGTTGCTCAACATACACTTCCTCTTCTATAAAACCATTTAAGAAGGCACTTTTAACATCCATTTGAAAGAGTTTAAAATTTTTGAAACTAGCAAATGCCAAAAACATCCTAATAGATTCCAACCTTGCAACCGGTGCAAAGGTTTCATCATAGTCTATGCCCTCCTCTTGATTGT